GGGGGGATGGAGATGGGGATGGTCATGGGATGGGGTGGGAATGGGATGGGGATGGAGATGTGAACGGGGATGAGGGTAGGATGGGGATAGGGAGTGGGGATGGAGATGGGGATGGAGACCAGGATGGGGACAGGGATGGGGACAGGATGGAATGGGGGTATGGAGATGGGGATGGTCATAGGACAGGGTGGTGGTGGGATGGGGATGGGGAGCAGGAAGCAGGGATGGGATCGGAGAGTGGGATTGGGACAGGGTGGATGGAGATGGGGATGGGCATGGGACAGGGTGTGGATTGGATTGGGATGGGGATGAGGGTGGGACAGGAACGGGGATGGGGAGTGGGGATGAGGACAGGGTGGGATGGGGGAGATGGAGATGGGGATGGGCATGGGATGGGGTGGGGATGAGGATGGGATAGGGACAGGGATGAGGAACGAGGACAGGGAACCGGGACATGGATGAGGACAGGATAGGATGAGGGATGGGATGCATCATGACACACAGCTGCAGGAAGGTGACCTGCGGGCCCAGCTGGGAGCAAGCGGTGGCAGCTGAGCGTGAAGCCAGGGCGGGCAGCACAGCCGGTGTGGACACAGTGGCCTCTTAGCCACAGATTGTGGTGATCGCCGTTTCTTCAAAGACCCGCTGGAAGGCGACCTGAAGGGACACCAAGGAGCAGTGCCTCCGGCAGCTCCCCACCAAGAAGTAGATGAAGGGGTTGATGCTGCTGTTGACGCAGGCGAGCAGGAAAACCACCTGGGAGGGCGCGAGGGAATAGCTGAACTGCTGCAGGAAATTCCAGACGCTGAGGGGAACCCCAAAGATGAGAAAGAAGAGGACGGTGAGGAAGATTACGATGTAGAGCCTCTTGGGTTGACGTCGCTTGGAGCCACACAGGACCTTAATGAAGAGGATCACGTTGGAAATGACCATGGGAGGGGCAAAAAAAAGGAAGTTGAGGATGTACATGGAGATGAGAGCCATCTGGCAGTGCTCATCCTCATGCAACAGGCACAGAGAAGTGACTGCAGCAATGACAGTGATGGAGAGGGCCCAGAGCAGGGCACACACCACGGCTGACAAGCACTGGGGGCGGCGGCAGCGGTACCAGAGCGGGCAGATGATGGACACACACCTCTCGATGCTGATGGCCGTCAGGAGGTACAGGCCCATGTTGTAGGAGAACAGCGAGAGCAGGAAAAACGGTCTCAGGTACGTCAGGGGCACAAAAGCGAGGCAAGAGACGTTCTGTATCAGGTAGAGGAGGGTCCAGGGGACCATGAAGAGGAGGAAAGTGAAGTCAGCGACGGCCAGGTTGAGGACATAGACGGTGATGGGGTTCCTGCAGATGCGGAAGCCGAGGAGCCAGAGGACGGCCCCGTTCCCCACCAGCCCGCAGAGGCAGGTGAACAGCGTGACACCATCTATGGCCATTTCAGTGACCTCTATCCCGCACGTGTCTTCTCCATCGGTGGTCGGCACGGGCGATGCGGGAGGTGGGGATGTCTGGTTCGGCTCCATGGCGAGAGGTGGGACGTGGTCCCCGGCTGCGGTCAGAGCAGAAGGAGCGTTAGTGAGACCCCATGAGCAAGAAGGACGTGGCAGGGAGAGGGGTACCGGTGATGTGGCACAGCAGGGCTGGGGACAGGGGGGTGACGGGAGGGCTGGGGAGGTGGCTGGGGGCGGTGAGTGCGGAGGAGAGGTTGGAGGGGTCCCCGGTGCCCCGAGGGAGGACACGTGGGAGAGGTGGAAGGATCTGCAGGGAGATGCGAGGCTGGGCTCCCGTCCCGACCCCCTACCTTTCCATGCAGCAGTCCTGTCCCCAGGTCGGAGCAGGGCACGCTCCCTCCCTCCGGCTCTCCTTGTCGCGATCTTCTCGGATGAGGAGAACCGGGGTCTTCGCGTCCTCGGAAGACCCGAGCAGCCCGTCTCGCGTCCGAATAGAGCTGGTCTTTGGGGCGTTTCTGCAAGATCACGGGTTGGGTGGCGAGAGAGCACTGGGCAGTTTCAGAGACGGAGGCTGCATCACTGAGCCTCTCCTCCTGTCAAATTTCTGTTGGTCTTGCGGGAAAGGAAATGTTTTGTCCGAGAGAATACCCCAGAGGACAAATACTGCACCATCTACATCTTGCCATGAAAAATTTCGATGCTTTTAGGATTCAACCTGATATCTCATTAGACTGGTAATTACCACCTTCCTAATTGTTTGATTGTGCTCCGCTGTCCTCCCCCCACCCTGCCCTGACGCTGGCATCCTTCGGAGATTGTTCATTACCCTGTGCGTTCGCCTCCCAGCCTCCCGGCGCGTGACTGGCCGCCGTCTCTCCTCCATCTTTGTCGCCCGTCAGGTTTGGGTGGGAATTCGGTGTTCGAGACGTCGGGTTCGACTCGACCCCACTGGTCTGGGGGCTGCAGCGCCCGCCTGGACGGGTTGGTACCCACCAAGGGAGACGGGGCCGGGGGCGGACAGGGGCAGGAGAGCAGGGGATGTGGCAGCCATAGGGATGGAGGGAACG